AAAATCAGTTCCGAATTGTAACATACAAAACTCAATAAAACAAAGATATTTAATTTCAAAAGCTTTTAGTTGCTTTTACTTGTTTTTATGAATATGGATAATATTGTCTGAAAGCAAAAAACGTTTACGATGAAAAATAAATTTTTACAACAATTATTTGTTATTTCTTAAATTATTTTTTTTTACATTAAAGTTGTTAAATATTATAAAATTAATGAAAATGCTGTACAGTTTAGTCAATGGTGTTATTAAGTAGATAAATATCATTACACATTATAAAATAAAGCTGGTTACAATCAGCAATCTGCAAATAGATAAAAATCTAATATAACATGTTTTTTGTGCCCAACAATAGCTTAATTCCAATATACGGAAGACCGGAAGCATCACGAAAACAATAGTCCGTAAAGTGGTTTGCTTTGGTAGTAACACAAACATTTTGACGATAAAATTCTGCTTTCGTCAAGTTTAAGGCCGTTTTTATCATGTTATGCCTACTTAAAAAGTAACGAGGTAAATAAGTTGTTCACATAAAGCTAAACTGTCACTTGTGACCTTCTGTACTATAACTTTTTCCTCCTGCAAGATTTCCAGTGCGTGATGAAATCACGGACATGTCACTTGTCAATCAACACCACTGTTAAGACCAGCTTTCTCTCATTTTAAAGTACATTTTTTCAGCGCAGAAAGTAAGTAATGTTTGTTTCAAAATATATTAAATAAACTTTATAATTTCTAATTTTCTTAAATTAATTTTAAAAAAAATCATAATTGATTTTTTGAAAGAATTTTAAACGGAGACTTTCACTTTAGTAAACAAAAGTTAAAAAAATGGCTGACGATCGATTTTCTGTCAATTTTGCTGATCAAAAAATACAAGATTTTTAACGAAAATTTTGGAATTATTAAAAATGTAAAAAAATAATCAAAAAATACTTTGATCTTTCTTCTTGATAATAACATAAACATTTAGACGATAAAAAAATTATTTTCATCAAGTTTAAGGCCTTTTTTTTATTCATGCTACGCTCATTTTCCAGCGATCTCATGTTGGTACCTATTTTTAATCTAGGTTAAAAGTGCAATACAAATTTCATTTTATAATCCCAAACCATAACATCGTTGGCTATGAATAACATGATTACTTTTTATTGGATACACTACCCAAAATATGCACATGTGTTCGGATAGAGACGCTCGTGATTCAACATGTCGAATAAATTTGGTTACTGATGAATTCATGTCTGGACATCTAACTGATTAGTTTCCGTTGAACACGAAAAAATATTCTGATAGCTATTAAATATCTTCTACATTTACTTGTTTTTGTTGACTCGAAATTATTAATAACAGCTTATCCTGATTTATTAAACATGTCATGCACATTAAGAAACGATTTCATCATTTGACACAACCATTTTATTTATTAGAAGAGTTATTTCTGCACGATTTTATATTACTATTAAAATTTTGCTAATTAACCAAATTATTGTGAATAAGGTCAGCTTCTTAATTCCAAGTAAAAACGAAGTGAGACATATGCGTTTCCGAATATCCGGAAAAACTGATAATGGCTATCATCTAGTTTTCTTGGACACAAACAGAAAAAAAAATAATGGGTTTATATTTGAGTATTGATTCTATTTATATCTTTATGTTATTTTAACTGGTTTCTATCCAGCCATCAGTATCGTTCAATGTTATATAAATTTTATCGAGCGAATTATATATGTTTGTGTGTATGGGTGTGATTGAGTATATATATATATATATATATATATATATATAGAGAGAGAGAGAGAGAGAGAGATACTAAGAGAATGTAAACTTGAATTATTCTTTATTCAAATGGGACACTTCACGTTTAATGGCGTACTGATAATAATAAAGAAACTATACAAGTTATTATTTTACATAATTTGGAAACCGTTTGAAATCTTCAGTTATATTTGTAAATCTTAAAAGACTAAATTTCATTGAAGTGATCTGTTTTCGTAAGTATATTAATATCCCACAGAACTATTATATTACAAAATTCACTATTAGACGTCAGTCATGCACTTATTTTAATAAGAATGGATATTTTTTTTATAAAAATCACAGCAGTGCAACAGTCTGTTTTATGAGTTGAAATGGGATGAAAATCTAGCAATATTTGATATTTTGGGCTCCAAATAGCAACAATTAACTCTTATAGTAACTATCTGTAATTATTTAACCTTTTAATTATTCTGGAATTATGCCTGGGTTAGATGTACAAGGAGTGGAGACGAGTCAGTTTATCGCATAACACCGCATTTTTTTACGGTTCTTGAACGTTTTATTGTAATCGTACAACACCCGCCCCGGTCATCCAAAACATCCAACAGCGTGGCTGATCGATGAAGATCGCTTCGATCTCAGACCCGCTCTATCCCACGTTGTGATTTAAGTTTGATCATAAGAAGGTCTCTTCTACCTCTCTTCTGCGACTCGTCTGCCGAATTCACTTTGCGCATTCATATTTATTGACATTCGCCCAAACTGGCGAAGTAAGAGAATTCGATAATTCTGGGGAATTCCCTTCTTCCACTCTCTCATATTATTACCTCTCACTAAATCTCCTCAGTGAGCTTGGGGGGCTTATTCACGCCCTCCAGGTATTTCAACTCAACTTTCGACCAGGGGAATCAACTCCAAATTTGTTGTTTACGAAAAATGAAATTTTCGCTTTACAGCTTGAATTTGCAGCTGTGCGTCAATCAACATTGCCCTCTAAGTCTGGGTCACTTTTCCATTGTTCAAACTGCTCGACATACAATTCAAGTCGTTTATGTGTGAATTAAATCCTCAATTCTTCCCACGGGTTTTTGGTATAAACCCTTCTCACCATTTCAATGTCTCATAGCACTTTCTATTGACAAGAAAACTTTCTTAGGTTTTATTTTCCTGTTGTAACAAAAAATAGTATCACATTATGTGTAATCTTTACATAGGCATTTGATTTCAGTTTACGTACAGCGTAGATATGTTTTTTTTTATTTTATAATCTGTATGTATTCAGCAAATGTTTTTATGTATTTGAATAATAGACATATTTTGTACATATTCTTTGTGTATTTTACTGTATTCTGTACAAGCGAGCAGAATTTATGCTTACATCTGAATTTATGAGCAATTATTTATATTTAATTCAATATTTATATCGTCTGTTCTTATATATATATATATATATATATATATATATATATATATATATATATATATATATATATATACGTCTGCCTTAATGTATGTATTTTTTTAAATTAGTCTGCACATGTGGCTATTAACATGATTGTGCTAAGTTGGTACATATCAGTGCTACTAGTAACCTATATTAGTCTGAGAGTATCGACTACAATGTGAATATTTGAGAAGATATATGTTACTTCTGTTGATTTTGTTTTTGAGTGTGTGGTTAGCGTAACGGTTATCGGCGTGGAATCGGTGTGAATCAAATTCACACCGTGTCTGTTGCGTTCACTTTCGAACAAATACCTTTGGGATAAAATGAATGCATTTCTTATGCCTCCACGTATTGATTAAATAGTAGGATTGATAGCGGTGGCAGCTGGTCTAGAAGAAGGAGGATAAATCTGAATAAAATCAGGTAACAAGAAAACATTCCATTATCTTTTTAAGAAGTCAGATAAAGAAAAGGGATTTTGAAGTGCCATTATCACTCACCTACGTCCTGAAGAGACATGGCATTAATATAAAAAATCCTTATTATAAATGCTTTTTTTTCATGATTAGGCTACTGACTATGTATGTGCTGGTATATGTATTTATTACAGCAGATATATATTTATGGGTGTGCTTACATGTTATGTATTCAAAGACATGTGTGTACTTTTAATATTATATGTATTTTTGTGCCTATGGCTCTCACTTTATACGTTTGTTTGTCCATGAATTTATCATCGGATATTTGAGAACATACCTTTAGGGATTCAAAAATGGTAGCCGACCACTTACATCGGTATGCTTGATGCTGGAAGTCTTGGATCGAGGAGATGAATCATTTTTACCCCCAAAATGTAAACTCCTAGCTCTCCTTATTTGAATCTCCTGGAATTCAAAAGTCCTCGAAGAATTTCTTTATTAAAAATCATGCAATCTGTAATTATTGAATGGTGGGAACAAAACTTTGAAAATTACAAAACCTTGAACAGAAAACAATTTTTTAAAAAGTGAATTTACTGGCAAAAAGAAACTAATTTTAAAAATGTCACAAAAAGAGACTTGTAAAAAATTAAAAGGATAATAAAAAAGAAACGTGTATTGACTAGCAAGAAAAAAAAATTGAAGAAGACGCTGGTTTTGAGAATGTAAACATGGAGAAAATGCGGAATATTAAGAACTTTGTTGTTTTTTTTCTCAAATCGACGGGAATCTAGTTTTTTAAAATATAAATGCGGTTACACAATCTTTCCACTCCTCTTATCTACTCAAATTTTTTAAAAAGATGAGAAACAAAACTACAATTATCCAAGAATATCCAATAAAAAAAATCCGAAAAAAAAACAAATAATAGTTTCAGCCAAAATGCGAAGAATGCTTTCTGCGAAAACGCTACTTAAAGCAATGATGAAACCCATGAGGAATGCCATAAAACATAATTAAAAATTGATAATACAAATAGGTGCATCATAGTTATTTACTAAGTTTCGTAGAAGGTCACAGTCAAAATCGAACCCGTTACTCGTCTGTAGCACAAGCTTACAGACCAACATACTAATAGTTGTTCCAATTTAAGCTCTTGATAAACACCAGCGAGTGTCACTCATTTTAACTATCAGTGATCATTAAAACCACTTTAGAGGTTTTTTGTGATAACAGAAGCCTTGAGCCAAACTGACTGCCTAAAATATTTTTGTTCTTGTTGTTGCAAGCAAAATTCAAAGACGCATTGGTACCCGTAGAAGGAGGAATATGTTGGTTGGTGTGAAAATAATCTCGCCTGCTTTTGTGTTTACAGCGCAACAGTCTGGGTGGGAGATGCTCATTAGACACAACAAATAAGGACCGATACGCAAGCGGAGAAAGACAGATAAAAAGGTAGTAGATAAGGTCCCTGGAGCAGAGCCTTGTAGACATCTGATGGCTTTTACGGAAGGAAGTTAAGAGAGAATGGCTAGGTGTCCGCTTGTCTAACGCTGGCAAAGTAACGACATGCGTACTTGAAAAAAAAATGCTACGCCAGGGAGAGAGAAAACTAAATAAAGCTGATAGAAGATTGGAGAGAGTAGCGGAGGGAAGATGAAGGATCTATTTACAAGGAAATGCGAAATGTATAAGAGATAAAAACTGCAACTGACGAGGAGATAACTCTGAGTTCTGAAAACGTGGATGGGAGTAAAGAGAGAAGTAGAAAGGAGGTTTCAGGAGGAAGCATTCATGAAACAGAAGAATGCAAAAAATGTGAAAGTGGAGGCCTTGTTAAATGTAAATGAATCCACTGGCAGGCGACAGAGGAAATGGTTTATTGTTAGTAAGACGAGAATTACGTTCCCGAAGAGTAGAGAAAAACAAGAAAGCAGATACTGAATGTCATGATTTACCCCACTGAGCTACCGTAGAATTTACAAATCATAGAGTGATTGCTTCGGGGATGTGCGCTTTAGTCTAAACAGTCACACTACACTATTGATTGTATTCTTGAATCTATTAGCTAATTTTATTGATCGTGCCCACAGTTTGTCAGTTTTATCGAATCCACAAGAACTGACTCAATTCTAAGTGGAATACGTATTAATCTATGAGGGACAGTCAAAAAATAATATTCGAATACAATTTTAAAATTATTACTTGGAATTCCGATTTAGTGCCCCTCTCGACACAGGTCTCTGCCCTCTCGACAGATGTTTCTGCTTTTGGAAGAAGAATGTACTGCAAGTATTCGAATGTTTATGAAAAAGCTATACTTTACGGTAACGTTTTTGGTCAATAGAGTTAATGTCAATCATAGGGCGGCAAAACCGTGATTAGTAACAGGTCAGCTATTACTGTAAAGGAGGCCAAACAGGCTGGTGATCTCATTACAGCTTGCTGGAGAATCATTATCTTAAAACTGAAGCCTTCTGGTGAATCATGGTAGTGTAGTCTCTTGGTTACTCAAATGTGTATGAAAAGCGATATTCCAGAGTCATAACAAACTTCACGAAGGAGCAGAGTGTGGGCGCTGCCCAGAAAAAAATGTTTAAAGCACATCATACTCCACTGTAAATTTGTTAGCCATTCTGTTTTGAAAATAAAAAAGAAGTCATAATCTTAGAATTCAATGGTAACAGTATCAGCGTCTCGTTCACCCTACAGTCCTGACCTAACACCTTCAAATTTTCTTTTGTTTAGGCCCATAAAAGAGCCCCCCCCAGAAAACATGATGATCAGGATGTGAAAGTGGAAACTCCCAGACGCCCATGAAAGCTTTTACGAAACCGGTGTACATGTTCTAATGTGGAATAGCACGGTTTAGTTGAACGGAATCTAAACTGAGCACAAGATTTGCAAGAATTTTACGTTCATTTCTGTCATATTAATTATGTTGTAATTAAAGAAGAGACTTTAATTTTTGGGTGAACTTTGTATTATTTCAGGAACAGGTTTATATAAAAAGGAGTGTAACGAGAAACAAAAACTATTTCCCATCAATAGGATGACTATAGGATGACTATTTATATGAAATTTTACATCTATGAAATGTAAAATGATAATATTTTTTCAAAAGGCTTAAACTATTTTCTTCTGATATCAGCTTTTAAAATAAATTTGTTTGTGAATCTTTATCGGTCGTTATATGTAATAGAAGATAACCATATCAGAGGAGATAACTTTAATCAAATTATTTTTTTAGTTTATCGCTTGTTTTGAATCTAGGTACCTCCACAGATTCGCTAAAAATGGGCATACATGACGTAAAATCAACCTTTTTTCTTATAGATATATTATGCGCATTATTGTCTTAAGGAAAACCATCTTTTCGATGAATAATGAATTTTTACAAGAATTGTTTTCATTTTTCAAAATTTTAATTAAAATAATTTATAAAATTTTAAATATTTTCAAATTATGAATTAATTTGTAGCCCTTAGGTGATATTGTTATTAAGTAAAACCTATATTTACTAATCATAAATGGATAACCTATATTTACTAATTATAAATGGAAATTCTTTTAAAAATACGATGTCAACGATGACATCGTATTTTTAAAAGAGTTTTTTTTTTGTATGCGTGTGTGTGCGTATAAAAGTCCCGATTTTTGTAAATATAGGCGTCCATACATGACATTATCAGAAAATAAGAGCAGTAACTATAGTAAATTTAAAGCCAAAGTACTTAAAATTCAATAAAACATTAGATTACGGAGAATGTTTTGCTAAAAATGTGTAAGATTATTGGGTAGTTAAAAATTATATAAGAAAAGAGCTCACGTTATATTCCTCATGTAATTTTTAAAGATGCCCTCTGTAGAAAAAAAATAATTAGCGACTGTCTTTCAATCTGTCAACACCTAGTAAAAACCTAATAAATATTTTTCTGTGATTTTTAAATTAAAATAAATAATGTTTGTTTCAAATCAGATTAATTGAACAATTATTAACCTAATATTCCTTAAATAAACTATCAGAAAATTAATTTCATTTTTTAAATATTTTTTAATAAATATTGTGCTGACAGATGGCTAAAAATGTCGCCAAAAAACTTCCTTCCAGTCAATTTAAATTAGTTTTGAAATACGGCAAAGTATTTTTTTATTGGAAATATTAAATTTAATCTATTAGAGCTTGAAATTAAAACGAAAATAAAAACTTAAAGAATAATTTTTCATTTTGTTTAAATTCATTTTAAACCTTAGGTATCGCATTTCTTTCAAGGTTAATAAGATTTTCTTTAAAAGCACTAATAATGAGATTGTGATTTTCAGTAGCAATAACAGCTTTATATCTAACGTTTATTTAATACAAATAGGTGACGGCTGTAGATTTTAACAATTTTTAAAAATAAATAAATATATCACTTGTCATTTTTCGAAGGCTCTATTTTGAGGAATTGCATTCTTTGCTGCGCACTTAATATTTGCATGTATTTCTTAACCTCAAAAGTTATCTAAAGAACAGTAACAAATATTTGTATCCGGACTTCTATGGCTTGGAGTACGAAAACAAAAAGGTGCTATCATTCTGTGATTAGTCGCAGGTGATATATAGGTTATCATATCTACCATAACACCTTGATAAACAACTAACAAGAAGTAACCTTGTTATTAAATTCATATTTTGAGTTGTACTTGGACAAAAAACCTTTGAAGTTAAAAATTAAAAAAAAAGAATATGAGCAACTAATAAAAAATATCAAGTAGAAATAGTTTTGGTGTTGTTAATGTCAGTATGGTATTTCCTCCTCAAATAAAAAGGAGTCAATAAAGTTCTGAAAAGCGATTGTGAAAATCAAGAAGCGATCGAAAATGTCATTCACACATGTTTATTAATTTAAAATGACTGTTAAGGGAGAATATAGAAAGAAAAAGTAAGGAAACAATGATTCACCTCCCCATCTTGTATAACACTTGTATCTGATGTGTTGGCAGTAGTAACAGACTTGGTTGATTTGCCTTTAACTATAAATATGTTCTAAATGTCAAGGTATTTTACTTTGTATGGCGTACGGTGTAATATTTTCTCACTTCTATGTATGAATTTCAAAAGACGCATTTTTATTGCTGTACATCGCCATTAATATACACCTCGAAGTGATATTATAAATATGTCAGTAAGAATATGTATATTTTTATAGCAAATCAGACATTAATGTTACTGCCAGTTACATAAAAGCAAGGAGATAAACGAAAAGCTTGCTATAAATTAGTGACTCACTTTTTGTTCCATTGTTTTTAAATAGAGTATTATGCTATTTTATTAAAAGTCGAACAATAGACACACTTTGTAAATTGTTAGTAGCTAAATATACTGATAATAATGTTCCTCTGTCTGGATTTAAACAGATAATAGGATATTTGTTAAGTGCTACAGTCGGGTAAAGGATAATCAAAGCTGATATAATCTTTTAATTCTTATATAATAAATAACTTTTTCATTAAACAATCTGTCTACACAGAGGCATCTGAAAGCTGTATTGTGGGCTGATTTTATTGGGCATCTGACTTCACATGGAGTCCTTCTTCACAAAGCTAAATAAAATACGTTCATTAGATTCCATACAAAAGGTTCAATTAAAAAATTATTATGAGATCCAATACTGACTTTTTATTCACAAATTAAAAAAAATGGATGCTTTACTCTCCAACCCAGCCCGTATACAACGTCAAACCGATAGTACTCCTCTACATAGTCAACAAAACATTAAATCCACCTTCTAAATTTATCGCTTGTACACTTTAGATTTAGATTTTGGCTTATATCAGAACCTCAGTAAGGAAATATATTAAATCTGCTCTTTCATGTGTTTTATTAATAGAATATTTACGTTTTCTCATATGAATGGTACGTTTTTTATCCTTCTTAGTTTTTCGTTATAGTTTTAAAACAACGGTGGCGTTATCAGCGACAAATATAAGGATGTAGGAACCTGTTTAAATAATGATGTTAAAACGTACTTTATTGGGTGTATATCTGGAAAATGCACCAAAAGAACAAAGAAAATGTCTTTGTAAAACCTTCTTATTCTAAACGTAAGAAAAGATGATTTATTACGATTGACTGGAGGAAATAAAAATACAACAATTTCATTTACTTAAACTTTTAAAGAAACTAAAAAGAGTCGGCAAAAAGCAAGACTGTATACTAAGCCAACATTTATTCATTCAGGAATGATTTACCATGTATATACAAGACCTACGTTGAAATGCAAAACTATTCAAGTGTCTACAGTCATCAAAAGTGATATTTTTTGTATAGAGGGTATTTGCCTTGGAATATATTTAATCAAATTCATACAATGAGACAAAGTATAAAGTTGTAATGGAGGCTGGTTGAAGTAAACTAGTGAACTAATTCCAAAGCCAGATATCAAGTTGCATCAGTCTGGTAATATGTTTTAGCCTATCTGTTAAAAAGGTTGCTTCTTTGACAAAATGATTTGATATAAACATTAACGATAGCAATTCACACAGATGCATAGGAGGTGACATTTAGATAAGTTATTCTCACTTTGTATCCAGTCTGGTAAATCTCTTCATACTCTATTAAAATGCCAAATGCCAAATTATCTACAATTAGTGATAATGTCTTCTTGCTGTTGAATTTTGTCGAATACAAGAATTCAATTTTGAAAAGTCGAGAATTGTATATATTTACGATTGTATGTGTGAAGAAAATTGAAAAAAATATATCAGCTTCGAAAATTAATGAGATCCATCAGAGCGAATGTCAAATTT